GATCATGCTTGTGAATGAAACGAGAAAGTAATTTATATTTAAAGAATGATTTATGATAGCTACGCTTTTTACATCCTTAAGAAGTAGGATTATCGACACTAGAACTAATTTTACGACCCTAGCTAACGGTTAATAGTAGTTAACATAGATATAATCATATGGCCTTGTTAACATGTTACAGTAGTTAGCGGAAGACTCTGGTTAGCGGGTTATAATAATTAGCAATGATCATGAAAATGAAATTGTCGATACGACTAATGTCACTAGTTATAACAATAATCGTAGCTAACGATAAATGAATGATAATGATGATTTATGATGAATGATTTTTTTTTACAAATTGATCCATGATTTGTTGACATGTTTGATATTGATTTGTGATATATGAATTCTTGACAAAATGTTGATTTTTTAATTATTTTTGATATTATGAGTTGATGAATGTTTTTAGAATGATCTATATAATACGTATGAAAATAATATTTGATCTGATAAGATGTGTGAGTGTATACTTGCTAAGCTATGATTTGTTAATTTTTCATTTTTTTTTTTTTACAGATGATATGAATAATAAGTATGATTAATCTTGAGAAGAACTAGAAGAATTGAGCATTGAAAAACTATTTAGAGAATAAAATTTATGAAGTATTATTTTTTTTAGTTGTAATACTTGATATTAAACTTTTAAAGATTTGTTATTTAATTATTTTATTTATTAAAAATTTTATTTTATTTGAGAATTTTTTAATAGTTATGAATTAAGATTTATATTATTTTAAAATTTTATTTTAAAATAATATGATCGTCTTGAGACATGACGAAAAGTGACTATTGGGATAACTTGAATAAGAATGATTCGAGGTCGAGCTCACCGGCCGCCCTACGTCTGCATTCCTCCTGACTTCTATTCTTTTCATTTCCTGCCGGGAAATTAAAAAAAAAAAAAAAACTTTTGTCACTAACACTGTTGTCTTACAGGGCTGTCCAACGTTTAGGTTGTGAGAGAAAGAGCAGAGGCATTGTTTTAACAGTCCTTATATGGGTTATTTCATTATTTGAAAGTGAATATTTTTGTAAAAGGAAAAAAATTTTTGAGTGCATTACTCAGCTTTATCTTCTCATGGCTAATATGCACAGTCCATCCATTGTTATAGGACAGAATTTGGGGTGGCATTCCAACTTTATGGAGAAATTTGATGTAGCAGTGGCCAGGACAGTTGCAGAAATGAGAGTTTTGGGTGATTATGATATGATAACTTCTTATATTGAAATTCTTTTTTTTTATTTTATTTTCCAAGACTGCAAGCTTTATTACTGTCTAAATGGGTGATTTTGGCATGACTCAGTATGTGTTTTTATCTTTCATGGGTTTTACTTTCCTTTTTGTTTTATAGTGTTGGGTTGATTGTTTGCTTGGAAAATGAAGGGAAAGATAAGAAATTATGTTTCCTTGTGTTTTTTTGCAGGCAACTGTGGCTGATCTGCAGGAGGCAATTCACAAGAAGAGTAGGTGATATGCTTTTTTAGTTGTTAAAAATTAGCTTAATTGCTTACTCTGTTAGTCAATTCTTCCTCCTACTTAAGTTTCAGCTGGGTTTTGTAAAATAGATATGTCTTGAATTCCATCCATATTGAGGTGAAAGAAAATCTTGCCAATTGCAACATATATTACTTTGCTGCCTATTTTTTCTCGTGGGGAAAGGGGTTCTATGGGGTCTGTTATAGTTTAGCATTTGAGTGGTAATAAATGCCGAAATTTTGATGGATTTTTTTGCCTTTTTATTGTCATCTTGAACCTTTCCCCCAATTCCTCAAAAGATGTGTTTTTTTATAGCATGCGTGTAGACAGCTTCGTTGGTCATTAGATTCTTTTCAACTGAATTCTCATGTGTCGTACTGGCAGCGAAAAAGTTCTATCCTTCGAGACAAGGACTAACACTTCTTGTGCCATCGGGATCAAAGAAGAGGCCTATTGTCCTTAACTACAAGAAGAGTCTCAAAGACTACTGCGGTGGAAACCAGAACAACATAACTGTAGTGGTCAAGGATCTGGGTCCACAAGAGTCTTACCGCACCCTTTTCTTCTTTGAGTGCTTGGGTCCTTAGATTCTCTATCCCATCTTCTACTACTTTCCTGTGTACAAGTTCTTTGGTTATGAAGGGAAGCGTGTCATCCACCCTGTTCAAACATATGCTTTATATTACTACTGTTTCCACAACTTCAAACGTATCATGGAAACATTCTTCGTCCACCGCTTAAGCCATGCAACATCTTCACTATCAAATGTCTTCAGAAATTGTGCTTATTACTGGACCTTTGGTTCTTGCTTACTACGTAAACCACCCGCTTTATACAGTTGTTAGTGACCTCCAAATGAAGATTGGGTTTGGTTTTGGATTGGTTTGTCAACTCACAAACTTCTATTGTCATATCATACTGATGAATCTACGCAGCCCTGATGGGAGTGGAAGGTATCAAATTCCTCGTGGGTTTCTGTTCAACATTGTGACATGTGCAAATTACGCAACAGAGATTTACCAATGGCTGGGTTTAGGGTTATACAAATGATCCCTTTCTATGTTTTTTCTCCATTTCATCCTTCCACAGTCTTCCAGACATTCAAGGATTTGCAAAAACCATAAGACTTCCTAAGTCCATGTATTGAATCCATCTTCATCCACGAAACTTTTTCCATCATTTTGTATATCAATTACCAAGTACAACACCCTTATTTGCACATTCCACTGTCTGTAACTAACTAGAAAAGTTGGGCAGAGGACATTATAAGCAATACCAAACTTGACTGGTAATTGCTTATCTTTTCAAATTTGAGTATTAGGCACGTGATTACTATTTTTTTTCACACACAAAGATGATTTGGAATGTTTAATCCTGTTGCAGAGTTCAAAACTTGGAATGTTGGATAGACTTTAAAACCATTCAAAATGCAGGCGCTATTATGTAGCAGGGATATGCAGCAATGTGAGTAGTGCAAGGTGATATAATATTGCTTAGATATCACGAATTATGTTAGATATCCTTTCATTTCTCTTCTTAGTGTAATTTTGCAGGTTTCCAAGAATACATCATCAAGTATACTGGAATAATTTATTTGGAGCTATTAAATTTACAAAATCTCCACCATAACAGTTTATGATGTGTTTCTTCAATTTTAATCTAAATGGTATAATTTAATATTTCTTCGAAAACTCTTCCTTTTCTTCTTTTTTCTTTGCTGAGAAATTAGATTTGCCGACCTTTTCGTGATGATCTGCATCAATAAAAAAAGCGTTACTTATTGTCATTTTTTAATTAGAGACATGTAGATTAACTGTGAACATATGTAGGAAAATGAAATTCAATCAGTTTATGTTTTAGGTTAATTGGAACATGTAGTAATTCAGAAAGAGAGTAAAGAACCATGGAACTATGGTTTCGTGAAATGTTGCAATAATGGATAAGAGCACCATGACACTGGTGGTTTTTATTGTTGTTTGGAACTGATGTTTGCTGTTGATATGTGTCAAGTGTTTTGCCATTCTTCAGGATGATCAATTTATTTTTTAGTTGGTTTTTTATCCAGTTTAACTTGCTATAAATTATTCTTTGCCAGGATTGAGCTTTTGAAGAATTTGAGATCATATGATAAACAATGTGAAACAACAATTCATGTGGTTTTCTTTCATGCTTGCTTAGACTATGGTTTGAATTTATGTGTTTTTTGAACAATTTATTCCAGGGACTAATCATTTTGATATGCTTCCTAAAGAAGCTGAATTATCAAATTGATTTATGTTTGTTTTGTGAACTATTTAAGCATTATGACTCGGCATGGAGTGACATCTTTTTGAAACAAAGTGATTCACCCAGGAAGCACAATTACTGATGTGTTCAGAGCTGAATTCCATCATCAAATCAGGGGATATCCCATACCTCGATCTGAAAAAACACAAAGTCAAGCATCAGTTCATTCCAGATAAGCTACAAATTCTATCCCCTAATTTAGTGATGTCCAGTATGTTGTTCTTTTTATCTTCTCCTACCCAGCCGGCCATCACGTTCTGAACTCTTCAAATCTCTGCCCCATAATGAATCTTTACTTGATTTGAAACACAAAGAGTTACTTAATTTGTTTTGCTCTTTGTCAAATCTAATAAATCTTTGCATGAAATGTATCACTGCAATTTTACATGTACCATTCTGTTTGTCACTTTTAGAATTAATAGATTTTATCTGTTGCTGTGCAGGCCTTGGTGTGAGTAGGGACTTATGTGAATTCTATGTACAAGCAATACCCTCAGAGCTCTTAGAATCTGGTTATGTTTATCGTTGTTTTTGTTCCAATGAGGTAATTGCTTTCAACCAAACATTCTGAATGGGAAGAGATTTGAATTGAACTACTTTTCGGTTTCAACTGATTGCCTCTGGAAATTGGATTGGAAACTATTTTTGTACGACTTTCTTTCACTTGTAATTTTAAATTATTAATTCATAATTTTATTTTATTTCTACAGTTAAATCATAAATATATAATTTTATTTCACTTACGCGACGAAATGTGGGCTTGAAACCTAGTTTAATTTAACAATGTCCCCTTCTGATCAGGAGGTTGCCAAACAATCTGTTTCATACTGAAATTTTTTAGGTGAATTTTTTCTCCAAACAGCCAAATATTCAAAAGCAATAGATAAAGTTATTTGACGCCAGACATTTTCATTGAAGTTTTCTTTCTAAAATAAATTCGCGATATTCATAGGTGCCATATGATCAGACAAAAAACAACACTCCAAGGAGCATTTCATGCCGCCTGCTTCACATTGCAATTAATTTAGAGCCAAGTACACAGCTCAGGTTCGTATGACATTATGTGATACCTTTGAATGCGACACATCCACTTAAGCAAGTTCTTCAGATTTTATGAATTCCAAAAGAAAAAAAAAATCTATATAATTTTTATTTTTTTTAATAAAAATTATTTCATATATGATTATAAGGGATCTTGTATATTAAAACAAAAAATATTTCATCGAAACAAGAAAAGATTTCAAGATTTAGCATATATATATGTACATGTTCAGCAGAATTTATCTGCGATGTCTTGTAAAAGCTGGCAAAGCTCTTTGGGCTTGGAAAGCATGACCATGTGGTCGGATCCACTAATGAATTTCACTTCTTTGGCTGGAGAGCTCTCAAGCATCAGTCGCTGGAACTCTTCCACCATCACTTCATCATCTTCTAATCCAATGAAAACTCGATCCACCGATCCGAAATTTTCTTCTGTTAACAAATCCGCCGTGGCCAATTCCTCCAAGAACAGCTCACTTGGTCGAACCAACATTTTGGCCAACTCCACATCCTGCACGCAATAACAATGCAATTAATTAGGACAAATTCACATACACATATATACATATATGAAGCCAAGTTCTCAGAAAATGAGGCAGATATAGCAGTTTGATCGTTGCTTCAACCGATTAAAAGGCCTTGCCTTGTTAAAATATATATATATATATATATATATATATATAAACTTGCCTCTAATTGGCAGTGTCGATAAGCTTTGGCCGCCATGAATTTTGGACCAAAGAGTGCTGAAGTTGGCGGCTTCTCCGGGCCTTTATCAAATGTGAACTGGCAATCCATTAACGACTCCACTGGGGTCCTTTTAAAGTACTAAATCAACCAAAAAGGAAAGTTAACTAAAATTAGAACATTCAAACCTGGCTATTAATGTATTAAATTAGTATTAATTACTAGGTTTACTTGTTGTATGAGAGTCCCTGGTGAAGAGCTATGATGAGGCATACAGGCTGAAATAAACACTGCAACTGAAATTTTCTTGGGAAATCTTTCCATGGCTATAGATATACAGAGACCGCCGTAGCTGTGACCAACAAGAATGACCTTGTGATCATCAGGAAGAGGGGCCAAGAAATCCATCAATGGCTGCAAGTAATCTGAAAAGGAAATAATCTCTTCGAGCCGCTTGGGATCAACCCCGGAAGCACCAAGGTCCAAGGCAGTGACTTGATGACCAGCCGTTTTGAGTAGGCTCACAAGCTTGTACCAGCACCAGGCTCCATGGCAGATCCCATGGATTAATACAAAGTGCTGTTTTCTCTCCATTGCTATAGTCTCTTGTTGTGTGCTATATGTTTTCTATATTTTGAGGCCTATCTTCCTTTAAATAGACTTTGTATATATGAGCAAAAAAACAAAAATTGTGCACACAATAATAAAGGAGACACCGTCCATTGCCTTACCCGCCACTGTCACAGAATTTAAGGCTTACTATAAGTAAGATAATTTTTCTTATAATTCTTATAATTTCTGTTCTTACCTTGGACGAAAATTCTTTTTATACAAAGAGATAACAGTTTTGGACTAAAGAAAGAATAGTAAGTATTGAGATTTATATTTTATATTTTTAATTTAAAAATAATTGTATGAAATAATTAAATTAAAATTTGAATTATTTTTGATGAGATTAGTTGGGGTATTTTTGCTAATTACTGGATTGTCCCTACTTTATAGTATCTACAAAATAATTTTTTTCCAAATTAGGAACCTTTAGCCTATACTTTCGGTCAATAACCACATAGAGTCTGCCTTTCTTGAAACAATAATAACATATTCTTGAATATGTCACCTACCTTATCAGCTTAGGTTTGAAGTAAATCTATTTATGGGTCGGTTTAGATCGAATTTAGACAAGATATTAATAAGTTTTAAGTTTCTTCAGCCCTCTTTAGTCTAAAATATGAGCTTTATTTTATTGCTCAGGTTCGGTTCAATTTTAAAAGACTCCTTTTAGATAGCCCATATTTTAATTTTTTCAAATAAAAAATTAACTATAATCTATAAATAATTAACAAAACAAAGCACAACAAAATTATTTTGTTAATTTAATTTAGTGTTTCAATGTGATTAGTATATATAAGTATAGGATATTAATGTATGTATATATATTATTTAATTATCTATTTATTATTATGTAATATAAATATAAATAAAAAATATATTATTGTTATTTAGACTGAACCAGGTCAAACCCAAACCTTAAATTTCATATCCAAAACGCAATTTATTTTCTAAATGAGTTTAAAATTTAAATTCAATTCTATTTAACGAGCTTAAAATTTATATTCAAATCCTCTCAAATTTTAAATGAATTTTTTAGTTCAAATAAATAGCTCGACTTTTGGATAGATTTAATTTGGAAGCAATCAAGAATTAGGTCAAATATCAAAAGTCACTGAATCACATATTTTTCTATTCAATGATAACTTAAAAATTTTGAGTTTATTTACAAAAAAAATGGATAAAGAACATGTGAAAAATGACACATTTTTCATTTAATTTCAAATGGACGACAACCATTCCATTTTGTGATTTTTTGTCCCTTTAGATGAGTTCTACAAATAACTAGATAAAGTGGTGGCAACATGAAAGCAATTGCTTTTTACCTTTCGGCGACCTACCAATTATTGAGCCATTTTGCCTCATATATATATATATATATATATATATATATAGGCGCCTTACCTATTATTGAGCCATTTTGCCTAATATATATATATATATATATAGGCGACCTACCAATTAGTGAGCCATTTGTCTCATATATTAATTATTTATATGTTGAGCAAATGGCTCCTAATTGGTAGGTCGCCGAAAGGTAAAAAGCAATTGCTTTCATGTTGCCACCACTTTATCTAGTTATTTGTATAATTGGGCCAATATGACAGAACGAAATCTTTAAAATAGAAAACGATAAAATCTATAAAACCATTCCTTTGCAATTTTATATATATAGCTGCATCAGAAATCGGGTTATCATTTTCGCTTTGGTTTACTGAACAAGTAGTAATATAATACAGGAAATGGTAACTTCTCAAGAAAGGAAAGGAAAAGGATATAAATGGGATAATGGATTCAATTATGTATCGTGTGTTATATCTTCAGGAATTCAAACCCTGCCTGCTTCGTTTGTGACCGTGCCGCGCTGTTTTTGAGAGGTAAAATTTTGGAAATAACAAAAAAAAAAAAAAGAAAAAAGAAAGTTGTTAAAGATAAAGACTGAGAGTGGATTCAGTATTTATGCTTCTATGCTTAACTCAGAAATCAACGAAAAAGGATAATAAAAAAAACATATAAAAAGGTAAAAAAAAAAATCATGAAATAGTATCTAGATTATCCTATTTATACTTATAACAAGAGGGGACATGGGCAGCATGGCTGACCAAGATCAGCCTTAGGGCTCAAGATAACCTAGCAGATCCAGCTAACTTAGACTCACATTGAGAATGACAAGGCAAAGGTCAACTGAATAGATTTGAGAGGTGATTAAATTATTATGATCTCATGAAATCAAGTCGGTCTGATATGTCAACAATCTCTAATAGGAAAAAAAATATTTTACCCTTAGAACCTAAAAATACCTCTAACAATGAGCTTCCATCTGTTTTGCTCTTCGCTACAAGTTCAACTCATGCGCTTAAGAATACCCAGTGTAGTGGAACTGTCATAGTTGAAAAGAAATTTAGGGAGTGAATTAGCTTACTCAGTCTGATAATCAGCTGAGCACGGTTGGATGCCCGGTCTGGAGCATCCTCTTGATCATGTTCATTCCGAAAGCAGAATCCGATGAACTGAGTAATGGCAGCACAATATTAACCCACCATTCTAAACATGTTCCTTTTTGAAATTTCCTAACGAACAAAGATGAGAATGGCAACAAGAATATCATCAAAACGAAAGCTGAGGCATGATCAATTTGTGACACTAACTATATTTCTCACACTTTGTTCAAATAACTCAATCAGAATACTGAGAACATCAACATGAAGCAAGTACTTCCAGTTCAAACTAATCAAAGGGATTTTAAATCTCTTTACTTTCAGTTCAAAATATATTTAAAGAAAAAAAACTAAAATTTAACTGCTAAATTAATCAAATGAAAAAGTTAGAAAAAAAGAAAAAGAAAAACTTTTGATAAAAGGAATTAATTATTAAAAAAAGACGAACATATAGAAATTAAGCAGAAAACTTGCAACGCAAAGCCTCACGTATTTCGACACCTGATTATCAAAACGGCGCGTTTTTACCTGTTTCACAATTTTAAAAGATGGCTTAACGGGCCGTACCTTCAGCCCAGCACATCTCAACAAGGCCAACCGTAAAGCCCAACATGGCCCATGGCTCATTGTTGGGTCCCGTTGTGCGTAACGCCGTATAATTATTAGTGTCTGTAGGTGATGATGAATCACGTGTCTATAGCCGGCCTAGCAAGATAAGCAGTATGTGTGATTTAGCCTTTAAATTTTTTTTTTTATCTGATATTTAAATTTTATTTTCTTCAAGTATATTGCCTTGTACATTAATTTTGTTATGGATAAATTGATATGGTAAAAAATTAATAAATAATATCATGACACATGACATATTTTATTAATTAGTATTTATCGTATTAGTATTTTGATTAATTCTGTAAGTCAATTGTGTAAAATAATTGAGAGAAAAAATATTGAATACTGAATCATAAATTTGTTTCTAAAAATATCAAATTATTAAAAATGGTATAATTTGGAAATCAAATTAAATATTAACCCTAATTTATTTTCTCAAATAGAGATTTATAAAGAGAAATCAAAGAGTAAAAACTAAAGCCATTAAAGATATATATATAGAAAGAAATATTATTTGATACACTGATAATGAAGTTTTTTAATTTTATAAGTAAGATTAAAATAGTGACACACGTCTTATTTTTTTATTTTTTAAATACATTAAGGTAATGATATATAAGATTATAATAGAATATGATAAGATAATATTATGAATATGATTAAATTAAATAATATTATTTTATTTTATGTTTTATATGTGCAAGAGTTAAAATAAGATAATTTATTTATTAGTCAAAATTATTCTTCTTCAAAATTTATATAATTTAAATTATTAATATAATTTTTAAAGATATAATAGTATATGTAAATTTAATCTCATGAACTAAAAATAATCTTTTTCTTTTTTAAAAATTGAATCATTTGACAGAAAGAGAATAATAATATTTTTTATAATTCTATTCTTTTCAATTAGATACAAATTAAATATTATATAAAACAATTATCATACTATCATATCTATTATCTTACGTATCAAATATGACTTAAAAAACATATATTATTATCATAAACTTGTTTATAAAATTAAAAATTCATTTGTTAATATATTTGATAACTTCTTACATATATATATATATTTATATATGAGAAGAAATTTACTTATTAAAATAAAACTTTTACATTTTTTTAAATTCTTATATTAAAATTATTAAATTTAAAAAATATATTATTTTTTATTCAAATAAATTATAAATTTAATTTTACTCTAAAAATTTTAAAAATATATAAAAATTATACTAATATAAATAGATTTCACTTTTATGTATGCGGACACACCGCAATTACAACTCAAAATTCCGTTGTCCGTAACATGGTCTTCCAAGCAAAAGGAAAACAAACGATGACAAATGCTCATTCACAAAACCATCATGATTCTACTCATGGTGGGGAATGGAATTGTACCCTTAGGCCCTCAACATCCACAAAGCTACAAAAGCTTTCACCGCAAAATTTCATCTTCTTACAAGTTACAACTATCTGTCCATCTCCTTTATTAGGACAAACATGGTAAGAAGTAATTAATGAAGTGCAACTTTATCTACAGATTCTCTGTCAAAAGTTAGGGCCCTTGTCTGATTCTTGATTTGATGTGGCTGCTTACTGTGTGTTTCTGCTTTATTTGTTTTTGTGTTTATCTTAGCTTAAGAAATTAATACTACAGCTGCTCTGCAGGCAGTAGACAGCAAAGAGTGAATGTTTGCAGCAGTTTCTAACTGCTATTTAAATATAGTAATTTATGCATCCGTATTATACAAAAAATTATTATATTATAATTTATGGTAATATATAAAATACAAAATATATTTTTTAATTTTTATAAAATTTTAAATCATATTAGTTTTACGTTTTTTTCATGCAAAACTGATTAAAACTGATATTCTTCTTTGTTAGGAATTAGTCATTATCATCAGGTTTTTGGGGTATTCTTATTTGTTAGGAATTAGTCATTATCGTAGGGATTTGGTTTTTCAGATAAAGCAAAGGTTGATGATTGGAAATATCTTTTAATGTTTTACCAGAGGCACA